AGAAGGCATTTGTCTGTGTCCCTCCCTCCACGTGCTGGGTGCCTCTGAGCCTGTGCCTCAGGATTAACCACCAGTTAATCAATTAATCAAATAATTAGTGCCAGTGTGGAGATTTCCCAGTCTTAAGCCTTCAGTGAACTTCTGTCATCAACCCCAGTGTACACCCACTTCCATCCTCTGCCCTCAGTGGGTCTTAACATAGTCTGCTTTTGCACTGCCCACGTCCTGGTGGGCTTCAACATCCTCTGCCCAGTGGTGTCCCAGTGAAACAGGAGATAGCTAGAGAAAGGTTAGGCAGACAGACAGGCCAGTGTCACCAGGCCACCAACGATGTGGTGAACTCCTGGCAGGCTTCTCAGGCTCAGCATTGGTAAACAAGCTACCTGCGAGCTTCTCAAGCTAGAGCTAAAGTCCTCACTGCTGGGATCGAAAAGCAACCAATCAGCTCACCATTAGGCCCCTACCTCCTGGCAATTGGTCCTTAATACTGGCCAATCAAAAGAGCAACAGCTCATAGCTAGTGCTAGCCAATGGGCTTGAACTTAGGGCTATATAAGCACCAGGTTTTCAGCCCCAGACAGGCAACCGCTTTGGGTCCCCTCTCACCATGGCAGATTCTCTGTCCCCTCAATAAATCCTGCTTACTCACCTTCTCGCCATCTGTGTCCCTCATTCTTCCTGGGCATGAGACAAGAACCTCATCCTGAAGAGTTGCAAGCTGAAGAGCTGCAGAAGATTATCGGACCCGGAATGCCGTGCACCCCAGAGGCTGGCTTGCCAGCGGATAGAGCCAGCTGAACCAGGAGAGCTGCGGTAAAAAGGCGAGACTCTGAAGCTGAGATACCCAGGGGACTAGGCTTGCCAGCCCACCGAACCAGTGACACTCTCAGGGCTTGGTTTGCCAGCCATTAGAGCCAACACTCTGGGGGTTAGGCTTGCCAGCACCCCACCCCCAATCGCAACACTCAGGGCTTGGCTTGCCAACCCATTAGAGTTGACATTTCCAGAGCTAGGCTTACCAGCCCCTCCACGACCCTCTCTGGGGCTTGGCTGGCCGACCCATTGAGTGGACACTCTCCAAACCCAGGTTGACCTGAAAATTCCTCATCACCAGTGTCCACTCTACTTGGAGGTTTGTGTCCTTTTTTTTTTTGTACTTTTGCTGCCTTTCTAGTTTTAGGAGAGGGAGAAGAGGCAAATGCATAGAACTGATTTATTGTGTTTCACTAGGAGACCTTGTTTTTACTTGCTCTTTTTGTATTTTTTAGAGATAGAGTCTTGCTGTATCATCTAGGCTACAGTGCAGCTCACCGTAGCCTCCAAGGCCCAGGCTCAAGCAATTCTCCTGCCTTAGGCTCCCAAGTAGCTGAGATTACAGACCTGCAACACCAGCCCCAGCTTTTTTTTTTTTTTTTGAGACAGAGTCTCACTGTGCTGCCCAGGCTGGTTTCAAATACTTAGCCCTCAAGCAATACTCCTGCCTCAGCTTCCCAAAGTGCTGTGATTACAGGCGTGAGCCACTATGACTAGCCTTGCTATTATTTTAAACGCAGTTATTAATAGTGAGTTTGAACCTCTTTCTATACATTTATTGGTCATTTATATTCTTTTGTGAATTTCTTGCTTATGTACTTTTGGAATGTCTGTCTCTTTTTTATTAACTTTTAAATGCTCTTTTTATATTTAGGTTATTAACTTTTTGTCCTTCACATGTGTTGTGTATTTTCCCTAGCTTAATTTGTTTTTCCAATATAGATGATTTTGATGTATTTGATTTGATTTTTATGTCCTCAAAATATGTCAGGTTTTTTTTTTTCTTACTTTGTAATTTCTGGGCTCCATATCATACTTAGAAATGTCTTCTCCACCACACAATTATTAAATGTTTACCTTTATTTTCTTCTAACGCTTTTAAGATTTTCTTTCTCACATTCAAATATTTGATCCATCTGGAATTTCTTTTGAAGCAAGGTATTAGGAATCAGTCCTGTTTCATTTTTTTCCAGTGCCTAGCACCATTTATTGAACGATCCAGTTTTTCCTCCCTGATTTGATGTGACTTATTTATCACACACACTTGGGTTTATTCCTGGACCCTGTTCTGTTCACTCATCTGTCGTCCTTTTTCTGGGTCAGTACTACTTTCGGTGAATTTCTGTGGCTTTATCTGGGTTTTGGAGTCTAGTAGGCCAAGCCCCAGTCTTTACTCTTCTTCTCTGAATTTTTCTGGCTATTTTTATGTGCTTTTCCTTCCAAATGATTTTTATGTCATTTTAATTTCCAACGTAAATCCTCTTAGGATGTTGAATAGGCTTGCAAAATATATTAGAAAAGATCACCAAAAAGTAAACCCCATCCTAGAAAATGATGTTGCACTATTGGGAACTATTACTGGAGAAGAAATGCTTCCGAAATTATCATCGTCATCATCAATATCATCATTATTCTAATTCACTTTTTCTCTAGGAAATAAGGGTTTCAATATCACTTAACCTAAGGATATTCTTCCTTGTATTTAACAGAAATCTTTTCAGGTACAATTTCTACCCCATAAACATTCCTGGTCTTCAGCATGATAAAAATTATTTATCATTCTTCATTAAAAATGAATCTAGTGGATAGTCACAGTTATGCCCAAAGCTATATAGTACTAGTAAGAGGCAAATAGACCTTTTCTCACCACATAACTAAAAACGCTGGACCCTATTTTAAACTAATTTATTTAAATTTAAAATTATATTGAGCACTATGAATGGAAGATCTCAAAGAGCAAAAAGGAATTCTATAGATTATAACCTTTATTAAGATAATTGACCCTTGAATTAGTCACCTTTCCACAAAATTCTCATATAGTGGCTTCTTTATGCTCACAATATTTCAGTGAAGTGGATAAGGGCAGCTTACTACATCAATCTCCAGTTTCTAATGAGGAAATGGAGAGTGGGTTAGTGATGTGCCCCAAAGAACCAGTTCACTCATTGTTTATTTCTGGGTGGCACTGGGTGGCTGCATGGCTCAGGTCACCAACATTTTCTCCCCCAAAGCAGAAGTCAGCAGAGAGGGGCTTGTCTTACAAAGGAGGGGACTCAGGTACTCTATTACCTGAGGGTTGATTTGCTCCTCGTACTCAACACTTGAGCCCAGTCACCATGAGCTCTGCTTGAGTGTGAGGGACCCACCTGGTGGGATCACCTTGGGTGCAGAGAGCCATGGAGAAGCTGCAGTGTCACCCTTGCAGCACCCATTTTCTCTCTTCTGGCATCATCCAGAAAGCCCTGGCATAGTGCAAATATTGCCTAAACCTTTACTTATCTGTGTCGTCCAGAGCCTTGTTCTCTCTTGTAAGGGAGTCCCTGAGACCTCTGACAGAAGTGTAGATTTTATCATGGAACCTTTTTACCTCAAACCAGGGAAATCCCAGACTGAACTGGATAGTTGACATTTGTTTCTTTCCAGCCATCAGAATTGCTTACCCCATCTGAAGAAAATAAGGAGGAAAAAATGGGGGGAAAAATGTGGTTAATGTCAGATTTGTGTAACAGAGGTTTGAGTTGCCTTCCCTTCTTTACCATCACTGGAGATTTTAGCTTTTTTTTTTTTTTTGACTTATAGTCTCACTCTGTCACCCAGTCTGGAGTGCAGTGACACGCTCATGGCCACCGCAGCCTGCAGCCTCGACCTGCTGGGCTCAAGCAATCCTTCTGCCTCAGCCTTCCAAGTAGCTGAAACTATAGGTGCACGCTACCATGTCTGGCTAATTTTTTTATTTATTGTAGAGACGAGGTCTTTTCACCATGTCAGACTAGGGATTAAGCTGTCTGTGCTCTCTGTGAAAGTTATAAGATTATGTCTTTTCAATGATTGGTCTTAAAGGTTTCAAATGACTGAATGTAGTAGATTAGTGATAATCAAGGTGAGTCAGCAGGTAGACTCTGCAGGTTGTCTAAAGCACTGTCCTGGAGAGCCCAGTACTCTCCAGCTCCCTCTGCAGGGATACAAGCCTCGATGACTCCCTTCCCTAGGGTCAGTAACAATCCCTCTTTAACAGGAAGGCACGACAGAATTCCAGTAAACAGAGCCTCTGGTCCGCTGTCTCTAAAACCTTGAACTCAGAGATAAGATTTATTCACTGGCGTCACTTAAGACACAGAACAGGTGTTTTTAGGGGTGCTTGGACTCACACATCATATCCCAGAAGTCAGAGTGGCACTGCCCATTGGGAGGCCACTCTACAGCCTTGACTAATGCACCAAAACAAAACCGTGGGGATGACACAGGAACAGAATCAAATATTTATTAATAGTGACGTGATTTGTTTGGTTTTCACTTGTATTGACTTTAAACTTCTGTAAGCAAATTGTTGTTGTATTAGAACTTTCATCCAAGCCAGGCTCGGTGGCTCAGCCTGTAATCCCACACCTTTGGGAGGCTGAGGTGAGTGGATTGCCTGAGCCTGCGTGTTCAAGACCCGCCTGGGCAACTTGGCAAGACCTCATCTCTACAATAGCCAGGCGTGGTAGCGCGCGCCTGTAGTTCCAGCTACTCGGAAGACTGAGGCGGAAGGATCGCCAGAGCCCAGCAGTCGAGGCTGCGGTGACCGGGAGCGGCCACTGCACTCCAGTCTGGGCGACAGAGTGAGACTCCCACTCAAAAAAAAAAAAA